CGGGCTGTGTCAGTCGAAACTGTCGCTGTACAGTTGGCTGTGCCCCCGGCTCTAATTCTATTCGGTGATCATGTGCCTGCTGAGGTGGCAGTCCTTCTGGTGTATCGTCCGGAAAAATCCCCGAGTACCGTTTCAACAGTTCCCGTGGTTCGGGCGGTACCGCTGCCAGCAGTTTCTGAAAACCACTCGGCTGCTCTGCTTCTCCTACCAATGCTATATCCACCGCGTACACGTCAGCTCCAGCGGCGATGGCCCGTTTCATCGTGATGGCGTTGACGTGGACCGTTCAAGACTCGGGCGACTGCCAGCGGGGTAGCTCGACCCAGTTACCGCTACTTCGCACAGTGCAGCTACCCGTCGTCCAATCGATTCGCGACTTGTAGCGTCGCATCCAGTCACGTCCCAGTAAAATGTCGTGCCCATCCAGTGTCGTCGCGAGCATTTCCTGTGTAAACCCAAAGTTCTCCCCGCAGCGGATTTTTACTCTCTCCACCTTCTCCCACATGGCCAGCGGCGTGCCGTCGACTAAGCGTGCATCTATCTCCAGTAAACACCGACTAAATGTCAGTTGCAGCTTCCGTGCGGTTGCGGTATTAACTAAGCTGTGACTTGCTCCTCCGTCTATAAAAATCTTCACTGCTACTCACTCCCTGTATTTTCCCGTGAATCAGTACTGAGCAATCCGTCGGTGTACCCTCCTTATTCATCCGAGCCCGATCGATAGCGTGAATCGGTACTGTGACTCGGTGAGGGTCGGTGAGGTTGGGCGAGCAGGTTGTCTCGTCAGTAGTTGGCCCGATTTCTACTGACCCCCGGTCCCTCCCTCCCCTTCCTCCGGGGCCTGCCCCTACCTGTGTTCCTTGCGTCGAGGGCCGGCAGCGCGCCGCTCCTCACTCCTCCGAGTTCCCTCCGACAGAGGCTCCCCTGCAGACTCTCCAGATGGACGTGTGGGGCCCAGCCCGCGTCCGTGGACAGGGTCACGAGCGTTACTTCCTGCTGGTCGTTGACGACTACTCGCGTTACACCAGAGTCTTCCCCTTGCGCCGCAAGGGTGAGGTCACTGAGGTGTTGATCGACTGGATCCGCGCTGCCCGTTGCCAGCTCAGCGAGAGTTTCGGCTTGGACCTCCCCTGCTCTGCGCCGCGGCGCCTCAGCTCCTCTGGGCATTCGCTTTTGCGATGGCCCGGCCTATTGCAAGCAAAGCAGCGCGGCAACTGCATTTGCTGCAACGGCGTGTACAGTGGCGTGCTCGGCCGGTCCCCGAGGACGTTGTCCGTACTAGAACCCCGGTCTCGGTCGGCGTAGGATATCGATCTTCTCGGCGAGCGCGAGGATCTCGTTGAAGTTCGAGAGCCCGCGTAGCATGATTTCGTGCGAGATGTCCGCCTTCAGCCCTCCGACGTAACGGTCCACCCGCTCCGCTTCGTGCATGTAGCCAACTTGCTCGCATAATGCGAGAAAACCGCTCGTATAATCTTGGACCGACCCAAGTTGTCGCCAAGTACGCTGTCTCTGACGCGCTGAAATCGAAGCCGCAATCGGCTCGAAGCGCGCTCGAAGCCCTGCGCACCACGCATCCCACGTGCTGTACTGGGCGGTTTCGCAGTAAGAACTCCAGGTGACGGCTGGACCCGTGGGCCCTCCCTCTTGAGACGGCGGCTCGTAGGCGCGTGGCGACGTCACGACGACTCGCCACCAGTCCATGGCGAGGCCCTCAGCACCAGTCCATAGCGAATCTTCGCTGCGTCCGACTCGTGAAGACCCACGATTGAAGAAGACGTTCATCGTGAAGACCCACGATTGAACTGTCGGACCTCCACGTTGGCTATGATCGAAGCAGGGCGGGCGTTGCGGCTTGAGTGGCATTGGCGCCATGATGTCGTTGTTGCCACTTGTTGCGACGAACTCCACGTGCCGACGGGCTGTGCGAGGCCCATGTGTGCTTGGTGCGGCCCTGTTCCTCTCCATGCCACGCATTGATTGAGCGACGCCATCAGTGGCTGCGCCTGAGTGTTGTCCCACGCTGTCGTTTTGTGTCGGTGTGCCCGATTAGATTACGATCGGCTCCTCCGATTGTGCAGGTGCATTTGCAGGTTCGTGTGTTGGTGCTGGTGCATTCACTGTCGATTGCTGGCGAGCGGAGTCGCGTTCCGCCGTGAGTGTCGCAATTTCGAGTGCCGAATCTTCGAGTCGGCGCACGAGACGGTCGAGCTGCTCCTGCGTCAGTGTCGCGATATATAATTCGGCCATGGCGGGGGTGTCGGGCAAACTCAGCGAGAGCCTCTGTCGTGGCCGTGCGTGCGTACAAGAGAGCACTTCGAGCGGCGGTGCTGGGTCGTTGAAAGACGTCTACCCCCTCCAAAAAGTGAGATAGTGGGGAAACAAAGGTGTGGGTGCGGTCCGAGAGGAGATCGTAGGCTCTGTTACCAAATGTTACGAGTGCAATTGAGTGAGCGAGCGAGAATTGCACTATCGAAGCAAAACAATACAATGAGCGAAGTCATGAGCAAAGAATATATAGCGAAGCTAGCGTGGTAAGGTAACGGTAACGCGAGAAAATGGGGTGCGCTACGGGCCTAGTGCCGAGGTTGGGAAATGTCGAGGCGGAGGTCCGGAGCGCGGGTTACCAACCGAACCGTGAGGTTGGGTTGCATCATGAACAGTGGCGGGAGTCGTGGTCGAGGCGAGTGTCGCGAGCGGGTAACGTTTCACTGTTGGGTGCTAATGGCGGGAATGGTCATGTACGCGGTAAGCAGGGGCGCGAAGTAAGGAAGATGATTTTTCCTTACAGAAAGACGCATTATCACTGATTGCTACACGTGGTACATACAGACTGAATTACATATACACATCCTAACTAGCATACAAATACAGAAACAACCAAATGGCACAATTGTCATGCGATATGACGAATAGAGGAACTTCTAGATTCCCACCCCCCAAACACATTAGCAACAGATCCGCTGTGGCTCATCCACGGCTCATTCCAACATGAACTGGCGATGCATGTATGCTCGTACGATGAAGGAATATACACTCCCAATAATGATTTTTTCCGCAAGAACATACTCTTTACTTGATCGTAAAGAGTCCACGCTGCCCCGAAAATGGCTTGGCGTTCCTCCTTTGAATACGCCGAGTCGACCCTCCACCTCAATGCTCCCCACATTCCGCTTCTCACTATACTTGTGAGATATTTTTGGGTGCTTAGTGTCTCCCTCATGCAAGAGACTGCACGAAAGTAATTGTTAGGTAAGTAGTTACCAATCATGCTTGCAGCGTAGTCGAATGGGGTTTGGAAGAGGAAGATTGGAGTGGAAATGTCGAGAAGGGTGTGCTGTAGGAAGAAGCATCTCCATTGCTCCGATCGCCTGGCGGCTGGATTGAATGGATGGAGAAATGTGAAGAGGAGTTAACACAAAGGCGATTGAAGGTTCAAAGCTGGTATCATGCTAGGAAGGAACATGAGGATACATGTGCTAGGAAGGTTACGATGGTGGGAGGAAGAGGAAGTACCATAGGAGCAGGTAGGGTTGAACGGACGATGCAGCCAGGTCAATTTCTGTGCCACAGCACGTAAGGTGCGCCTTGCAAAGCGATCCCTTGTGTCTGAAAAGTGCAAAATTCAGGTGAGAGCGCAAGGTCAGTGAACGAGTCAATGGCGAGAAAAGTGGGCGTTTGCGTTGGCCAAACGACAAGGCTTAGTAAGCACAGGAAGGCCAATTCAGGCACAAGTCATTGAGTTGGGACACGCACTGGCCTTTGCGCGAACCGCATAGCATGGAAGACAAGGGTGGGCCCATTACTAGGAGGTCCGATTAGTAGGAGGGCGGATAACGAGGAGGGTGATAACCAGGAGGGCGGATTACCACTAGGATGGCCTACCAAGAAAGAAGCCAGAGTCCACGAGGCACCGGGTGGATGCTGATGGGAAAGAAGAGGCCAGCCAATCACAGAGATTTGCAGTTGCCTGCCCGCCAGCCGAGCTGCCCGAAAGCAAAATATGGGAGGCGTCGCCAAAGCCACGCTGATGCTGGAGGTCTGATAGGGAGAGGAGGGGTATGGATTGGAGGGGGAAAGGACAAGAGAGAGGAGAATAGAGGGGCTGGAAAAGGGCAGGGCAGGGCAAAACTCTCAAAAGTGACTCAAAGATTCAGGAGAGACGTAGGGGTGATAGAGTGCAACGAGGGTGGAACAGAACAGAAAAGGGGAGAGAGGGAGGGCAAGGAGTGCTAGGAAGCGGGATGGTGAATAAGGAAGACAAACGAGGATGGTGGGATGTAACAAGGTTATTAAGGCTTTTGTTAATAGATACCATTAACCCCCGTCCATGCAAACAGGCACGGCCAGGAGAGATGTTAAGGAGAGGAGGAGAGGAACTCCTACAGGGTACAGGCAAGGGGGGGAATCATTTATCAACACACCTTGTAGCACAGCCTGAGAGATGTTCAGGCTTCTGTTGATAGATACCTTGAGGGCAGGAGGACACGGCTGGGTGGCGGAGAGGAGCCCTCCAGCGTGCAGGCCAGGGGGGATAGGCAAGGGGGGATAGGCAAGGGGGGATAGGCAAGGGGGGACATCGGCGCACCTTCGAGCACAGCCTGAATGATGTTCCATCCGTCCAGGTAAATGGTTGAAGGCAGTGACAGCTTTGACTCCGTTGACTTGGTTGACTCCGTTGACTTGGTTGACTCCGTTGACTTGGTTGAGTCCGTCGAATTGGTTGAGTCCGTTGACTTGGTTGACTCCGTTGACTTGGTTGACTCCGTTGACTTGGTTGACTCCGTCGAATTGCTTGGCTCGTTTGACTTGCTTGTCTCGTTTGACTCTGTTGACCCGGCTGCATCGAAGCTCACATTCTTTGCCGCGGCGAGCCTCACTGTTCTCGAAGAAGAGGCTGTTGAGTTTGGGTCAAAGAATCTGCGCGTGAGCTTGATCCGCCCTCTCCTGCCCGCATAGCCCCCCCCGTCGCAATACACGAGCCTCACAACGTTCCAGTTATGGAAGTCGGGGTTCAGCGTCTCGTTGGTGCTCAGTACACCCCCAAACCAACTCTGTGCATGGCAATGCCACAGTGGAAAGAAAGAGTGCAAAGCAAAGAGGTGGCCTTTGAGTCGACTCAAGGTTTCTTGGTCTCGTTGGAGCTCAGTATACCACCAACAAACAACCTTTTAACTGAAATCAATAAGCTAGCTTGACCGCTGGGACCAAAAGAGATGCCGGCCGGCTGGGTGATGGATGGTGAGAGGCAAGGGAGGGAGGGAGGGAGGGTGGTTGGTAATGGAGGGACGGGGACAACCCATCTTCTGAGCTGCAGGCTGTTGCCTTCAAGCCATCTTCTAAGGCACCTCATAGTGATCCTTCCCCCCCCTCCACATGTGATTTCCAGGGCCTATGTCACGGGGGGCGCATGCATTGATGCAGGCCACCAGCTCTGTTCCTCCCACATCCTTACCTAGGCTCATGTCCCTCACCACTCACCCTCACCCCCGCCCCCCGCCTTTTGAGACGTCTCAAAAGGCCCCCCCCTCCACATGTGATTTCCAGGGCCTATGTCACGGGGGGCGCAGCGCATGCATTGAGGCAGGGCAGGCCACCAGCTCTGTTCCTCCCACATCCTTACCTAGGCTCACGTGCCTCACCACTCACCCTCACCCCCGCCCCCCGCACAAACTCCTCATTCGATTGCCCCCAGGGCCAATGTCACGGAGGGCGCATGCTTCGAGGCGGGCCACCAGCTATGCACCGACGTGCCCATCAACCCCACCTCCGCTGTTCTCCCCTCCTCCACCGCCTCTGGCTCGTACGGCAAAGGCCCCCCCGACACCACTGGCGCAGCAGGAGGGGGGGATAGGCAGGGGGTGGATGAGGAAGGTGGGAGTGCTAGCAGTATAGCTGCCGTGCGTGGGAAGGAGCGCAGGAGGCGGGGGAGGAGGCAGGGAGGGGCCGCTCGAGGCCGCGTGCTGCTGTGGGAGTCCGATGGGAGCGAGGAGGAGGACGAGGAGGAAGGGGCGGAGGGGACAGAGGGAGGAAGAGATGGGGGAGGAGGGGGAGTTGGGGGAAGGGTGGCTCAAGGGAGCTCCAACGGGGGAGACGAAGGGGATGAGGAGGATGAGGAAGGCGGGGGAAGCGGTGGGGGTAGCCGCAGCGGCTGGAGTTCAGGGGGTGGCAGCACTGGTGGAGGAGGGTCGGGGTCTAATCTCCAGCTGGGGTCCAGGTCTGGGTCAGGATCAGGGCTAGGTTCGGGCAGAGGAGTGGCGAGGGGCGGGGAGGCATCGTCGGCGGCGGGGTTTAACTTGCGGGTGGTGCTGAATCCGTTTCTGACGCCTGACACAGGCCGCCCCACGCGCTACAACACCCGCTGGCTGCGCCGCCTGCGGCGGTGGCGCACGGATATCCTCATCCTCTCCCGCACCGCGCTCTTTAATGACAGTGAGTGCACCCTGGAACATCCCTATTCTTTCTTCAGGCTACTTGAAGGTTGCTTTCCGAGGCCCCTCAAATATTTCTTTTAGCCTGAGGCCCCTCCGGACATGGTGCTGCTGCAGGAGGTGCGGGACACCCTGGAGGCAGTGCGCGAGCTCAACCCAGACATGCTGGTCATCTGGCGCAACTCCCCACCTCCCTTCCCATGTAACCCCTCTCACGCCCTCCCCAGAGGATCTGATGCTGCAGGAGGTGCGGGACACCCTGGAAGCAGTGCGCGAGCTCTATCCGGACATGCTCGTCATCTGGTGCAACTCCCCCCATGTATCCCTCCCTCCCTTTCCCTCCTCTCTCCAGAGGACCTAATGTTACAAGAGGTGCGAGACACCCTGGAGGCAGTGCGCGAGCTCTATCCGGACATGCTGGTCATCTGGCGCAACTCCCCTGCGGGCCACCCCAGCTGCCACCGCTTCACCCGCCCGCTCAAGCGCCGCCCCAAGCCGCTGCAGCTCAGGGGGCAGCTGCCGGCTACTTGGACCAGACATGCTGAGATGAATGCTGCCGTGCGGTCTCTGCTCAAGGTGAGTGGCGCGCGCATGGTCAAAGTTGGTAAGCAGCAGGCATTATCAGGGTGAGGTGAGTGGGTGCTGGATGCAGCAGCAGCAGGTCAACAGCAGCCGCTGCAGCTCAGGGGGCAGCTGCCGGCTTCTTGGACTAGACATGCTGAGATGAATGCTGCCGTGCGGTCTCTGCTCAAGGTGAGTGGTGCAGGCTTGGATAAGGCTAGTCAACAGCAGGGAGCATCAGGGTGAGGTGAGTGGGTGTGGGCTGTAGCAGCATCATCAGGTGAACAGAAGCCGCTGCAGCTCAAGGGGTAGCTGCCGGCCACATGGACCAGAGTGTTTTTGAGAATTCTCAAAAACATCCTGCACCATATGGACTAGGCACGCTGAGATGAGATGAACGCTGCTGTGCGGTCGCTGCTCAAGGTCAGTGGTGCCACCTCACTGCGCCCCGACGGCCACCACAGGCGGCTGAACGGCACAGTGGACTGCTGCCACTACTGCTGTTCGTGTTGCCCCCTCTCATCCCTCCCCGTTCCGTCCCTGTTCCCATCCCTCCTCTCCCATCCCGGGAGTACGGGGTGGTGTATCTAGACGTAGACTCAGCCACCTCACTGCCTACTGTGTGTTACGTCTTACTCACCAATCCCACGCGTGTGTCCCACCTCTCTCCTTCCTCCTCCCCCTGCCAGGAGTACGGAGTGGTGTATCTAGACGTTGACTCAGCCACCTCCCTGCGCCCGGACGGCCATCACAGGAGGATGGACGGCACAGTGGACTGCCGCCACTACTGCATGCCAGGCCCCCTCGACCACTGGGTCTCTCTGCTCTACAACCTGCTCCGCCTCATCGACTCCCACTCTGAGCAGCAACAGCAGAGCGGGCAGAGTGGGCAGCGAGGGCAGCAAGGGGTATCACCCGAGCCTGTGAGGCCCGGTCTCCTGCCTGTGCGTCCTGAGGGGGAGTCCGAGCCTGGTCGACCACTGGTTGCTGGGGGTGCTGGCGCTGCTGGTGCTGCTGGTGCTGATGCTGGGGATAGTGATAGTGCTGGTGCTGGTGCTGGTGCTGGTGCTGGTGCTGGTGCTGGTGCTGGTGCTGGTGATGGTGATGGTGATGGCGCTGGTGCTGATGGCGCTGGTGCTGATGGCGCTGGTGCTGATGGCGCTGGTGCTGATGGCGCTGGTGCTGATGGCGCTGGTGCTGATGGCGCTGGTGCTGATGGCGCAGACACACTGGGAAACACACACACACACACACACACGCACACACGCACGCACGCACGCACGCACGCACGCACACACGCACACACGCACACACACACACACGCACGCACGCACGCACGCACGCACACACACACACACACACACACACAAAACGGAGAAGAAGAAAAAGAGGAAAACAAACAAACAAACTTAAGAAATTATATGAAAAAGAGTTCACAAAGGCTTGAGGGTAGAAGCAACAGTAGCAGCCTTACGGGGCCGCTGGGGTGCTTGGGGTATCCTCTTGTGGACCCGAATTTTGCGCCCGCTCGCTCGACACATTCCGCGACCGTGACACACCAACCACCCCCGGGAAGGTAGATGTGCCACTTGCGGCGCCCTGAACCGGTGCCGGGACGGAAGTAGTACCCTGGAGGGCTGGAGCAGGGAAGATGGTATGGGAGGTGTGGCATGGGGGAGATGGCATGGGGATGATGGCATGGGGGAGGTGGCATGAGAGGTAGCATGGGGTAGTATGGGGAACATGTGTAGTGGGGGGAGGCATCTCACGGGATCTGAACGAATCTCAGCCGCAGAATTCTGCTTGGCGAGCGGGATGGCGATATGCTTTGTCGCGGCGTAGCCGAAAGGATACGGCGCCGCATGATCTCCCAACGGAGCAAATTTCTTGTGAAACAACGCAGCGCACGACGCGATGAATTTTTGGAGAATCGGTACTGGTCGGACGGCTGGCATGCTTACCCTCCATCCAGGCACTTCGCACCAAGCGTGCTATTGCGCTGCAGAATAAGCGTTGGCAGAAAATAGGTGTTCTATTGCTACTTGTAGAAGTAGCAGGAGTCTCCTCAGGAGTCCCTTCTGTCACGAGAACTATAATTCCGAGAATTGATGCAAGCCGCGCACAGACTAAAAAAACGACTTATCACACGCGGATTGTGTGTGGAGAGATTGTTTGTTGCTTGGGAAAATGGTTGTAACCTGCAAAGGTTACTGGTGCGCGCGCGACTTCCGAAGTCGCCCTTTGGCGAAAATCTAAACCCATCTCTTCACGCTGACACTTCCGAGGAAGTTGAAGACGTGGCCACCTGAAGTTCTCAAGGGTGGTCTGATTGGTCGCCGCTATTTGGGTGAGTGGATAGCCTAGAGTTTGCATTCTCAGAGGCTTTGTTTCTTCTTTAGAGGCATTGCTTTGCCCTGCTTTCTTAGGGTCTCCCCCTTTCAGCCAAAACATGTTTGTCCCTGGTTTCCTTCAGAGCACTTAGTAGTTTCACATAGTGCGGATTTTACCGCTGTTGTTCTTTTGCTTAAGCCTACTACACGACTGCAGCTCTATTAGAGATGTCTGAACATCGAGGACACTGCTCAGGAAGCCGCTTCGTCTAGTAGGAAACTATTCCGACTACTAACCATTGGACTCCTGGCAGGATTACCTTCCATCCAGGCACTTGGCACCAAGCGTATTATTGGGTAGCAGATTGAGCGAAACAAGCGTACTGTTGCTACTAGTGGTACCGGTCTCTTCAGGAAGTCTCCTTTTCCAAAGAACTATTCCGATTACTAAAGCAAGCAGCGCACAGACTATTATGAGAGATATGATAATGGACTTTCGGACAGGCATGGCTAGTAGAGCGAGGAGAGCATGAGGAGAAGGGGCTTGACAATACTATGAACTAAGTCAACTCATCGCTGTGGTTCAGGCGTAATGTGCCCACTGGAAGTCGCAATTTCTTCACATAAATTTTGGACGAATGCATTGCATTGCAAAGGACGCAGTTACGAGTACCATTCGTGCTGGATAACAAGGAAGGGGAGAAGAGGGCGATTGAAGCTGAACTGACCTGTGGCGTGAGCTTGACTTGGTTGGACTAAACTGTACCGTACTCCTGTCTGTTATCTGAGCTGGAGTGGAATGGAAATAGGGATCGTTTGTGCGGCTGAAAAATAGACTACAATCTAGATCTTGCTTGTTGGCAAAGCTGCAATGCAAAGCTGCAGCCGCAATTACGAGTGGTAGGTAGGGAGGGAAGAGGTAGGATTTCCTCTTGGTGTAAAATTAATGCCAACCGAACACTCCGGCCCATTTTTCCGAAGTTTCACTGCAGCTACAGGCTGTTTCTGGGGGCCATTTTTGGGGGGCCCGTTAAAAATGCCCATAATGGCGATAATGGCGAGAATGCCTGCCGAACTGGGCCTTGAAGTGCACAGCTGTTCCTGGAACTTTTATGGGCTCACGTCAGGATACACTGCTTGCGTACACTTGCGTGATGGCTAATTCCAAATTAGAAAGAATTGATGCTTATACAAATTGGAGAGAAAACATAATTGATTGCTAGATAGGTTACATACAGATACAATGCATTTACACCAAATGACACAGATGTCATGCGATATCTCGAATAGAGGAATTTCTAGATTCCCAAAAACCAAACACGTCAGCAACCGATCCACTGTGGCTCATCAACGGCTCATTCCAATACGAACTGGCGGTGCACGTATGTGCGTACGATGCAGGAATATACACTCCCCATAATGTTTTTTTCTGCAAGAACATACTCTTTACTTGATCGTAAAGAGTCCAAGCTGCCCAGAAAAAGGCTTGGCGTTCCCCCTTTGAACACGACGAGTTGACCCTCCTCCACCTCAATGCACCCCACCTTCCGCTTCTCACTATACTTGTGACATATTTTTGGGTGCTTAGTGTCTCCCTCATGCAAGATACTGCACGAAAGTAATTGTTAGGTACGAGGTTACCAATCATGGCTGCCGCGTAGTCGAAGGGGGTTTGGAAGAGGAAGATTGGCGTGGAAATGTCGAGAAGGGTGTGCTGTAGGAAGAAGCATTTCCATTGCTCGGATCGCCTGGCGGCTGGATTGAATGGGGTGGAAAACGGTGAAGAGTTAAAAGCAAAGGTGATTGAAGGTTCAAAGGTTATTTCATGCTAGGAAGGAATGGGAGGATACATGTGCAAGGCAGATTAAGATGGTGGGAGGAAGAGGCAGAACCATGAGAGCAGGTAGGGTTGAATGGGCAGTGCGGCGATGGGCGGTGCAGCGATTGGGGGGATGAGGAATGATGGTGGGAGGAAGAGGAAGTACCATGGGAGCAGGTAGGGTTGAAGGGACGATGCAGCCAGGTCAATTTCTGCGCCACAGCACGGAAGGTGCGCCTTGCAAAGCGATCCCTCGTGTCTGAAAAGTGCAAACAGTCAAGCAAGAACAAGGTCTGTATACGAGTCAACGGGGAGAAAAGAAGTGGGTTTTGTGTTGGCCAAATGACAAAGCATAGTAAGCAAGGGAGGGCCAATTCAGGCACAAGGGCCATCGAGTTGAGACACGCACTGGCTGTTGCGCAAACGAGATGGCATGGAAGACAAGGGTGGGCCCATTAATAGGAGGTCCGTTTAGTAGGAGGGCGGATTACTAAAAGGGCCGATTACTAGGAGGGCAGAATACGAGAATGGCCTACCCAGGAAGAAGCCTGAGTCCACGAGGCATCGGGTGGATGCTGACGGGAAAGAAGATGCCAGCCAGTCACAGAGGTTTGCCATTGCCTGCCCGCCAGCCGAGCTGCCCGAAAGCAAAATCTGGGCGGCAGTGCCAAAGCCACGGTGGTGCTGGAGGTCTGAAAGGGAGAGGAGGGGTATGGATTGGATGGGGAAAGGAGAAGGGAGATGAGAATAGAAGAGCTGATAGAAAGGGGCACGGCAGGTCGGTGCACAAGAATAAGGAGAAAGGTACATCGTCTGCAACAAGGGTAACTTTTGAGAAATCTACAGGGTACAGGCAAGGGGGAGAATCAACACAACTTCCAGCACAGGGGGAATCGTCAAGGGGGGGAGTTGACAAACCTTGCAGCACAGCCTGAATGATGTTCCATCCGTCCAGGTAGATGGCTGAAGGCAGTGAGAGTTTTGACTCCGTTGTCTGCGTTGACTTAGTTGAATCCCTTGACTTGGCTGACTTGCTTGAATCCGTTGACTTGCTTGAATCTGTTGACTTGCTTGAATTCGTTGACTTGCTTGAATTCGTTGACTTGCTTGACTCTGTTGAATACGTTGCCTTGCTTGACTCAGTTGACTCTGTTGACCCGGCTGCATCAAAGCTCGCATTCTTTGCCGCGGCAAGCCTCACTGTTCTAGCAGAAATGGCTGTTGAGTTCAATTGAAAGAAGCTGCGCGTGAGCTTGATCCGCCCTCTCGTGCCGGCATAGCCCCCCCCGTCACAGTAGACGAGCCTCACAAGGTTCCAGTTGTGAAAGATGGGGTTCACGGTCTCATTCGCGCTCAGTATACCTCCAAACCACGCCTGTACACGGCAATGCCACAGTGCAAACAAACCAACTTAAGTGTCGACTCAAGGTTCACGGTCTCATTGGCGCTCAGTATACCCCCAAACCAGGTCTGTGCATGGCAATGCCACAGTGCAAACAAATAGTGCAAGCAAAGAGCGGAAAGCAAAGAGGTGGCCTTTGAGTCAACTCAAGGTTCGCGGTCTGCTCAGTATACCACCAAACCAAACCTGTGCATGGCAATGCCACAGTGCAAACAGAGTGTGCAAGCCGAGGAGGCGAGGGGGGTGGTTAAGGAGAAGGTAAGGCTGGGCAAGGGAAAAACGCCGAATGAAGCCCAGAAGCAAGCATATTACAGACACACTGAACAGGAAAAGAAATGAAAAGGCTTGAGGGTAAAAGCAGCGGCAGCAGCCTTACGGGGCCGCTGGGGTGCTTAGGGTATCCTCTTGTCGACCCAAAGTGTGTGCCTGCCCGCTCAATACATTCCGCGACCGTGACACACCATCCGCCCCCCGGTAGGTATATGTGCCACTTGCGGCGCCCTGAACCGGTTCCGGGGCGGAAGTAGTACCCTGGAGGGCTGGAGAAGAAGAGGTGGTGTGGGAGAGATGGGGGAGATGGTATGGGGGACAGTGGCACACCAACCCCCTGAGGAGAGGCATATGTGCCACTTGCGGCGGCCTGAGACGGTGCCGGGAAGGAAGTAGTACCCTGGAGGGCTGGCGTAGGGGAGATGGTGTGGGGGAGATGGGGGAGATGGTATGGGGCAGATGGCATGGGGGACAGTGACACACCGACCCCCTGAGGTGACGTAGATGTGCCAGTTGATGCGCCCAATATTCCGAGCACTAGCGCAAGCAACGTTTTGAGACGTCTCAAAATACGTCTGTTATCACCGGGAGTCTCCCCAGCAGTCCGTTAGTCCAGACCAATGTTCCGAGCACGAGCGCAAGCAGCTCTCACCTTCCATCCAAGCACTTGGCACCAAGCATGTTATTGCGCAGCAGAATAAGCGCACTACTATTGCTATTAGTAGCACCGGGAGTCTCCCCAGGAGTCCCCTTAGTCCAGACCAATGTTCCGAGCACCATCGCGGAAAAGACAAGGGCCAAAAGTGACGGATTTGTGACTTTTCCGTCACATTTAGGTATACGGTTTTTTGGGAGAAAAAGGTGATGGTTGGAAGTACCCGGGCCAACGTAACCTAGCCGTCACAAAAATGTCACTGCGAAGTCCCCATTTTGTCACGCAAAAGTCACAATGACGTCACAGTCGCAGTCACACAAAAGTGACCGGACAGTCACTACGTTGGTACCGAATCGCGTCCACGTGTAGCCAGATATTTTGCCACGTGTCATTTTCGATGATTGGTCGACAAGAACCAATAACGTCTCAGATATGGGTGTGCCTGAACGCATTTTGATTGGCTGGCGATTCTGAAATTGGACCCCGTGTCGCACACGAAACACAGCATCGCTTTGCATCACGTCAAAATTTCAAAACTGCTAAATGTGCATCTGACGCTTTGAAATTGTTTCATTAGTCAGGCATGCGTACATGGACACAACTGTCAACCGTACGACCACTGTCAACTGTGAACTGTCAACTGTCAACTGTCAACTAGCAACTGTCAACTGGCACATGGACGTACGGAACCGACATCACGATCCAACTCGCACTACGCCTAGCTACGAAAGGACACCGGGTTTTGCCTGTGCACTGATCGACCATATGGTCATATGTTCACAACGAAACCAGCACGGAACTTGATAGCACCTGGAAAAAAGCACGGAAGCAGATAATGAGTCGTGGAAAGCATAGGACACAGCAAGTGAATCGAGCAGCGCGAAAAGAAACATGGACACAACCATATGCACAACAGTTAGGTGCTTCCATAAAATATGTCGTTCGTTATGGAACCTGCAATCAAGACAGCATCAACAGATCGTGACATGTGTGAAAAATACCATAGCAACCAAAGGCTTACCGAAAACGCACACATACGCACTTGTATCCGCGTTAGCACATCCACGTGTCAGAATGCTGTATTTGTCTAGCCTGCAGTGGGGTACTCTATAGCGAGTACAGCCCAATTTAGGGTTTCCTATATGTACTCAACTGCTTGCTAGTGCAAACCCTCTTTCTTGTTCTAAACTTTCTGCTCGTACTTCTGACATGCTATCAGAGCAGGTCGACCCTCCCTGGTCGATCCTGTGGGTGGGCCCACCCAATGCTTCCGCTGCTGTACTGCCTGTCGCGCGCCCCGGGTGCGCGACGTTTTCTGCTTGCCGCGCGCTCGTCGCGTGCGGCGTTTTTTCTTCCCGCCGCGCGCTCGGGGCGCGCGGCGGTTTTCTGCCCGTCGCGGCTCTGCCCTGCCCGTCGCGCCGCCCTGCTGGCCGCGCGACGCCCTGCCCTGCCCGTCGCGCGCCCCGTGGCGCGCGACGGTGCCCTGCCCGTCGCGCGCCCCGAGGCGTGCGGCGGTACCCTAACCGTCGCGGCGCCCTGGGGGACCCGCGCGCGCCCCCCCCTCGCCATCCCGTCGCCCGTCGCGGCGCCCTGGGGGATCCGCGCGCGCCCTCCCTTGCCATCCCGTCGCCCGTCGCGGCGCCCAAGGGGGCCGCACGTCGCCCTGCCCGTCGCCCGTCGCGACGCCCTGGGGGCCAGCGCGTCGCCCCCCCCCCTCTCGTCGCCCGTCGCGGCGCCCTGGGGGGCCACGCGTCGCCCCTCCCGTCGCACGTCGCGGTGCCCTGGGGGGCCGCGCGTCCCCCCCTCCCGTCACTCGTCGAGGCGCCCTGGGGGCCCGCGCGCCGCCCCGCTTCCGCTCACACGCCGCCCCAGCTGCTGCCCCCGTTTTTGCCCTGCATTTGGGGGTATGGGGGTGGCGGGTATGGGGGTGGCGGGTATGGGGGTGGCGGGTGTGTGATCCGTCCCCTACTCCTCCTCCTCCTCCGTCTCCCACTGCTGCAGCTGCCGCTGAGGGGGGTGGGTGTGTGGGAGCCGAAGGAGTGGTACTAGGGGGGTGACGTGGGAGTGGAGCTAGGGGTGCAGCAAGGGGTGTGTGAAAGGGGGATGGGACAGTTGGGGGAGGTTGAGCGGAGGCTGCCGTCTTGTCGTCCGCAGCACCTGTAGTCCGGGGCGCTGTCCTGGTAGCCCAGAGAGCCAGCTGCGCCTGTCGCCCGTGGGTCCGTTGCTCCTGCCGCTCCTCGTAGCCGCCGAGCCAGTTACTCCAGTAGTCCGGGGCGCTGTCCCGGTAGCCACTGTGCCAGCCGCTCCTGTCGCCCATGTGTCTGCAGCTTCAGCCGTCGCCTCCCATCTTCTCGCCCCCACAGTCTCTCCTCCTCCTCACTTGCCCTCTGTGATAGCCTCTAGCTTTACTTATCATTGTGAACTATTGCTCTGCCTGCTTATTGTGCTGATTACACCCCACTTTGGCTATGGGGGTGTGTCAGAATGCTGTATTTGTCTAGCCTGCAGTGGGGTACTCTATAGCGAGTACAGCCCAATTTAGGGTTTCCTATATGTACTCAACTGCTTGCTAGTGCAAACCCTCTTTCTTGTTCTAAACTTTCTGCTCGTACTTCTGACACCACGCACACGCGAAAAGTACACGATCGCGCTGCGATCACTCCGTCACCCTCACCTGGCTGCGATCGCGCTGCCACTTGCGGATTGCCATGCGGAAGGAAAAAGCAAATAGCAATATCGTGAGTGGAAGCATCGAAACAAGGAAATGGTGACTCACCAGCACTGTCGTCGTCATCGGCTGCCCGGGTGGCGACATCCCGTCGCTAGTCGCGCGCACGTTAGCGCGGACGTAGATCTGATGCTAACCCTGAAAACTTTGGGGAATGGAGGTGGGAGGGGAGGGCAGAAGCCGAGTGGGATAGATGCCGGACGAGATGTGCAGTTCCGACAGGCGACACTACGAATATTGCTGGGTGTGGAATCAAAGCAGGCGACATTAGCGACTCGGCACTGACCGAATCTGTCGTATGAGGAGACGGGCGGCGGCTTCCCTTCGCGAAGCGTGCGGTGGTTCGTTATAGTGACGCGAGATGAACTACAAGGGTGGGAGGCTAGGAGGGCAGGGTGGAAGCAAGGGTAGATTCATAGTGAGATGTGCATTCGCAAAATCAGTCATTAACACCGAAGTGTAGGGACCAAGACTGAACGGTAGCTTCAAAATTTGCTAGCAGGGGGATGGGGTTTGTATAATTTCTTAGAAGGCGTCGCGAATGTAAAGAGGTAACTACAGCACATTGGATGCCTAGATTTGGTGGAGTAATGAGAGTACGTAGAAGGATAACAGATATCCAGCCTACAAACTGCTGAGAATGAAAGAGAGTTGGGAGGCAGAAAGCACTTCTACGGCATAAGAGAGTGGGACGGGGGGTAGGAGAAAGGGGGGTTGAGAGTGGTTTGAGGTTGCGCCTGCTGATGTGTGGATAAGGGGGGCTGGTGTGCGTTGATTTTGATTTTCCGCACTGCAACGATTGGTTGGAATCAGCGCTGGTGGGCTGATCCATGAACGTGAGGTTAGCTTGGAGGGGTGAGTCGATGACGTGGAGCATCTGTGTTGGGAGGTGGTGCTGGGCCGAACGCGGATTGGTTGGTACACCCACGTCAATTCTTAGTATGACGCGTGTACACAGCAATATTCGTTCATTTTCATGTGTGCGATTTTCACGACCATCGTAGCCCGGGTTTCCGCTCATCGTTATACTTCGCGGATGCTCACGTTTTCATGATGGTTGTTTCGTGGCTTGGGTTCACCACGTCCTGCAGAAGTGCCTCTGATGCACCGCTCGGAAACGCTTTCAACCGTATGCGAGACCAACCGTGCTTGAAATGCGCTTTCGTGTTCATGTTACATGCGCATAATCTTCGTGGACGCGATTTCGTGCACCAATCGAAGTAATTCTGGACGGGGCGCACATTGCGACTCGACCAGAATTTTTGATTCGTGAAAATGAAATGGGCGGTGCGAGAGGCCCCACCAAGTGACTTTTGCGTCACATCTGTTTTGGGATCTTTTGTGTACTGTCTGGGACTTTTTGTACGTTTTTTTTCGGGACAAAACCTCCGAACCTCAAATTTGGGCCTCAACCTTTTCCGCGATGACTAGCGCAAGCAGCGCGAAGATAGCCAAGAGAGATAACACGATGAGCGACGTCCGGCCGGGCCGCATGGCCAGATAACGCGAGGAGGGGATTATGAGGACTACAATGAACTGAGTAGAGACGACTCTTGAGGCGCGTCAAAGGCCGGGTGTATGGACAAATGCCACGAGGAGATTATGAGGAGATTATGAGGAGATTATGAGGAGATTATGAGGAGTACAATGAACTGCTCAGTGAGTAGAGACTACTCTTGAGGCGCGGCTAAAGGACGGGTATGGCGAAAGACACGAGGAGATTTATGAGGAGTATGAGAGTAGTAGAAACATGATCGGTGTGCTTCTGGTAGCAGCATGTGAAGCGAAGTGTGCCTCGGATGCGAAATGTGTCTATTATTAACTGGAAGGGGGAATAGGGCGCTTGAACGATAACCTGAACTGCAGGGCGCGCGAGCATGACTCGCCCTACTGTCTATGGTCTGGAAAATATGGACGGCGCGCGACTTCATGATATTTTCGAGCTGGCGACGCGATACGAGAGACGGCAACATCGCGGAAAAGGAAAATTGCGATTTTGGGGGTTCGAAGGTTTTTCTGCGAAAAACCTGCGACTGAGTTGCGCGAAGTGTAAAAAAAACAACGCACGCAAAAAGCGACTTTCTGTACACTAGTTGCGAATGCGGAAACCGGCGGAAAAATGTGACCGCAAAGTTGCATTTTCGACAACATTTTCGAGTCACTCGGTTTTGCGCGGTTGAGAGAGTTTGAAAGCGTTTTGGCAGTGTAACGTTGACAGTGGCCATGGTAACAACAAATTTTACGAAACTAAACGACCCCAAGAAATCTAGCGAGGTTACAAACGTGGATACATCGTTTTCGTTTTTTCTCAAAACTGAACCCAACCACCCAACCCAACCCACAAACGGCAGATGGTTTCTTTGGAGGTGTGACGTGTGAGCCAACAAATCAATTTGA